AATTTGGTACCGATAAAGTCTGAGTAAATCAAAATGTTTGTGCTTTTTGTACAGAATATAATACAAATTGAATTGTAATTCTTAGAACAATCTGCTCGTTACAGATATTGATTATATTTTTATAAGATATTCTATAAAATATTTTATAAGATTAAAATATAATTCTATATGATATTTAATAAAAATTACTTCAGTGAGAAATACCTGAATAAGAGCATTGGGCAAATATCTATAATCTGCAAGGGATATTCTTTTCCTCTTGAGAAGCTTTACTTTCTTGTCGATGTACTCGATGGAAAACAATTCAACCCCAGAATATTCTCCCAAATTAATGCGACTCTTGTTCCAGGCGGATAAACGATTCTCCTTCCTTTTTATTAAGGTAGCCTCCCTCAATTCCATTCGTATAGTTTCGATTCGGTCGCTATCATTCGAAGAAAGTTCCGTGCCTTCGTCTCTCTCCTCGACAGCCTGCATCTTAAACTGAATTTTATCAATCCTTTATTACAGGTAACAATCAAATACTTGTAGTAGCATCCAAATCTTTAAATAAACCAAAAAGGAGTAAATTAATAATCCTTCTCTATGAAGTAAACAATTCAAATATAATCTCCCTTTCCACGTTTAATAACACAGGAACTATTTTACCGGTAAAATACAGCATTTTCAGTTTCACGCCGCTGCATTACAGAACTTTACCAACGAAATAGTGATACGTCAAAGTTCCAAGTAAATGAACGTATAGATGGCGCGAGTGATGGAAAGATTAGGTTAGACGCTGTTATAATTCTCTGATGACTCTGATCGCCTGTATTTGCGTTATTTCTAGTAATTTCTAGCTTGTAATCATGATGCAAGTAATACAGAGTTATAAGTGGAAAACAAGCGTTTGATCGAAAAGCTCTTGTCGCTATTAATAAGTGTCGCAAGAATTAAGTATCTAGGTTTAAGTAAAGAAATTAAGAAGTGTGTCACAAAATATCTTGTGCGGATAAAATGGAAGAGGTTAATCAATTGGAACACCTATCTCTGGTGTCAAAAATCTGCACGGAATTGGAGAATCATTTGGGATTGAATGACAAGGACTTGGCTGAATTCATTATACATCTGGCTGAAAATAACAAGACATTCCTATCATTCAAGAAGGTACTGATTGAGAATGGAGCCGAATTCTCGGACTCCTTCATAGCAAATCTTCTCAGAATAATACAGCATATGAAACCCGTGAAATCATCTACCGAGAAGCCGTCTAAGAATAAGCAGGACGAATTGGCGATAAAATTTCCAGCGCTGGCTTTACCGAATGACGATCCACGTTCCGAGACTAATGATGAAGATATCGTCAACGATGTTATGGCCTCCCTAGAAGCATTCGCGCCGTCTAACAAGAAACACTCTGCGAATATCGAGAAAAGTAACGGTAAGATTGGCGAAAAAAAGAATAAGCGAGAAAGGAAGAGTAGAAGCAGGTCAAGGGACAAAAGGCGTCACAGATCATTGAATCGAAAAGAGAGACGGCGCAGATCCAGAACGCGTTCCAGATCGCGGACACGTTATAGATCACGTGACAGAGCACGCAGGAGACGATCCGGATCCCGAGAACGCAAGAGATCGTCGTCTCGTAATCGTAAAGATGCGAGACACTCCAGGAGACGTGATGCCGACCGATCCAGATCCCGTTCCGTCGAAGAAACGCTCTCTGCGGAGCCGGAAGTAGGTAAGATTTACGCGGGTAAGGTCGCGAATATTGTGCCTTTCGGTTGTTTCGTTCAACTGGAAGGTTTGCGACGTCGTTGGGAGGGCCTGGTTCATATCTCTCAATTGAGGCGGGAGGGTCGAGTGGCAAACGCGAGCGACGTGGTCTCCAGAGGACAGAAAGTTCTAGTGAAAGTTCTCAGCGTCGGTGGACAGAAGGTATCTTTGAGCATGAAGGACGTTGATCAGGAAACTGGGAGAGATTTAAATCCCGTGGTGCCAATCGCGAAAGCCGACGAAGATGAGAAGCATTTACGTAATCCGGATAGGCCTACCTCTTTGCTGGAGCTTCAAGGTAACTATGATGAGGACGAAACATACTCTAGGAAGCGCGTGCAACGTTTGTCGTCGCCGGAGAAGTGGGAAATCAAGCAGATGTTGGCCGCATCGTGCATTGACAGGAGCGAGTTGCCAGAATTCGACACGGAGACTGGAATTTTGCCACGAGAGGACGACGAAGAAGAGGACGTGGAAATCGAGCTGGTCGAAGAGGAACCGCCGTTTTTGCATGGTCACGGTAGAGCATTGGGTGATCTCAGTCCCGTGAGAATAGTGAAAAACCCGGATGGCTCACTGGCGCAGGCAGCGATGATGCAGAGCGCTCTGGCAAAGGAGCGAAGAGAACAGAAGATGCTGCAGCGCGAGCAGGAGATGGATTCTGTGCCCACTGGACTGAATAAGAATTGGATAGATCCGTTACCTGAAGCGGAGAGTCGTACCTTGGCGGCAAACATGCGTGGCATTGGCCTACAAACGCAAGATCTACCCGAATGGAAGAAGCACGTGATAGGCGGTAAAAAGTCATCTTTTGGCAAAAAGACTAATCTGACACTGTTGGAGCAACGTCAGAGCTTGCCAATCTATAAGTTGCGCGATGATCTGGTAAAAGCTGTGACGGACAATCAGATTCTAATTGTAATTGGAGAGACCGGTTCGGGCAAGACGACGCAGATCACGCAGTATCTAGCGGAGACCGGTTTTACTGCGCGCGGCAAGATTGGCTGTACGCAACCACGTCGTGTTGCAACAATGAGTGTGGCTAAGAGAGTGGCGGAGGAATTTGGTTGCTGCCTAGGCCAGGAGGTGGGCTACACCATCCGTTTCGAGGATTGTACCGGGCCAGAAACTAGTATCAAGTACATGACGGATGGTATGTTGTTACGTGAGTGCTTGATGGACCTTGATCTGAAAACATATTCAGTGATTATGCTAGACGAGGCGCACGAACGAACGATACATACGGATGTGCTGTTCGGTCTGCTAAAGCAAGCGGTAGGTCGCAGACCCGATCTCAAACTGATCGTCACTAGCGCTACTCTGGATGCGGTCAAATTCTCGCAATACTTTTTCGAGGCACCAATCTTCACCATACCCGGACGCACATTCGAAGTCGAGGTAATGTATACGAAAGAGCCAGAGACTGACTATCTGGACGCTGCACTTATCACTGTCATGCAGATTCATCTACGTGAGCCGCCAGGCGATATCTTGCTCTTTCTCACTGGTCAGGAGGAGATTGATACTGCCTGTGAGATCCTTTATGAGCGCATGAAGTCACTAGGTCCAGATGTACCAGAGCTAATTATCCTCCCAGTTTATTCAGCCTTGCCCTCAGAAATGCAGACCAGAATATTCGAGCCGGCGCCGCCCGGCTCACGTAAGGTTGTCATCGCCACGAATATCGCCGAGACCAGTCTAACGATTGATGGAATATATTATGTCGTTGATCCAGGCTTTGTCAAACAAAAAGTTTACAATTCTAAAACCGGCATGGACAGTCTTATAGTGACGCCGATTAGTCAGGCAGCAGCAAAACAGAGAAGCGGAAGAGCTGGCAGAACCGGACCTGGAAAGTGTTATCGGCTTTACACCGAACGAGCTTATAGAGATGAGATGCTACCAACACCGGTTCCGGAGATACAACGTACGAATCTGGCCACCACTGTGCTACAACTGAAGACTATGGGCATCAATGATCTTCTGCATTTTGATTTCATGGATGCGCCGCCAGTGGAATCACTAATCATGGCATTAGAGTCATTGCACAGTTTGAGCGCTCTCGATAACGAGGGTCTACTTACACGGCTGGGTCGGCGAATGGCAGAATTCCCGCTGGAACCGAATCTGTCCAAGATGTTAATCATGAGCGTACATCTTCAATGCTCCGATGAGATTCTAACTATCGTCAGTATGCTGTCCGTTCAAAATGTTTTCTACCGACCGAAGGATAAGCAAGCTTTGGCCGATCAGAAGAAAGCCAAGTTCAATCAACCCGAAGGCGATCACCTGACTTTACTGGCAGTCTATAATTCCTGGAAGAACAATAAGTTGAGTAACGCCTGGTGCTACGAAAATTTTGTGCAGATAAGGACATTGAAGCGTGCCCAGGATGTGCGTAAGCAATTGCTGGGTATAATGGACAGGCATAAATTGGACGTAGTGTCAGCCGGTAAAAATACGGTGCGGATACAGAAAGCAGTGTGCTCGGGATTCTTTAGAAACGCTGCGAAAAAAGATCCACAGGAGGGCTACAGAACACTAGTCGACAGCCAAGTGGTGTACATTCATCCAAGTAGCGCGTTGTTCAATCGCCAGCCGGAATGGGTAATCTATCATGAATTGGTACAGACTACCAAGGAGTACATGAGAGAAGTGACGACGATCGATCCGAAATGGTTGGTGGAGTTTGCACCCGCATTCTTTAAGTTCAGCGATCCGACCAAACTTAGCAAGTTTAAAAAGAATCAAAGACTGGAACCACTCTACAATAAGTACGAAGAGCCGAACGCGTGGAGAATATCGCGAGTCCGCAGGCGACGTAATTAAAGAACGCGCTTATAATCTGTGTAAATATTATTTCGGTACAATAATTTGACTTGGCGTTTCACTTTTCTGAAAGTTGTAGAGATATAGAACAAACAATCTTAGCGTTCAGTATTTTTATTGATTTTATGCAGCAACAACTTGTACTTATAGTGACCAGATTTTGTGGAACAAAGAACATTTTTTTGCACGTACAATATTACATTTTCGATACATGTAAAAAAGAACTTTTTGTTATTAGGAAATAAGGAATAAGGCAGTTTATGATATGAAGATATTGAATTGATTTTATTATAATGTCATTCTGAAATTGGAGAAATGTAACATAATGAAATTATGTACAAGAATGCATAAAAAAAAAAGATTATTTACAGATCTCTATAGTGTACATACTTGTAAACATTGTAAATATATAATCATACTCATTCACATCATATTAGATCTTCGATATTTTTCAACATTTATCACCAGAAATTATTTTGATAAGGTATGATACATTGAGTAATCAAGTCTTCTTAGAGAAGAGGGCATTGTTTTAAGATTATACGCTTTCAGTCTTTCCCCTCTTAATTAATTATTAAATTTATTAAATAAATACATTCTCGATAACATTTAATATAAGATGACATAGGAAGGATTTCTCTATTTAATTTATTCTTTCTTTTCTTAAATTCATTCTGATTTTTTTATAATAACCGAGTTTTTTCAAGGACGCATATTCATATTACATATAACACAGTCGACGCACCATTTGTATAAAAGAATTTGTAGGAAATTTATGATTTTCTAGACGAACTGATATTTTTTATAATCAGGAAATATCACTTTTTTTCACTTTCACACTTATGGTATTGTTCAGTAATACTATTTTTTGGCTCGACGGTACAAAGTACATTTTCGAGAAAACGGAATTCTATACAAAAACTATTGAAATTGCTGCTTCTTTTTCACTAATTCCACCAATTGTTTATAGCGTACTTGGCATTCTTCCTGTAAACAAGCAATGTAATTTTAAAATTATAATGATAAATGAAGATTTAAACATTTCTATTCCATAAGGAGAAGTATAATATAAATAATTGTACCTTTGTTTTCCCCTCGACACAATTTGCAATTTTTTCCCATCTATCTATAGATGTACCTTTGGGATATTTCGTTAGAGCCGCTTCTAATGCCCTTTGCTGTTCTTGACTCCACTCAGCAGTGCTGACTGTATTTTCACTGCGGGTCTTGATCTTCTTCGGTTTTTCTTCCGCAAAAACTTCTTCCACTGATTCAGCAGGCTTTAAACCTTCCTCTTTCACCTAACGTAAAGTATATGCGACTCAACTTCTGTAGTCGATTTATTAAGAAATATAATTGATTATAACAGTGAAATAAAGTTAATTATAACAGAATAATAACCTTCTTAGCCATATGCGTAACTTCTGCAACGGTACGATTCATAACACTCGCGATTTTCTCCCATCGTTCTGGAGTTCCACCAGGATATTTCTTCACGTATTTTATCAATTCTAGTATATCATTATCAGTCCACAAGCCACCAGCTACCGTTGGCTTCTCATAGACATGATTCGTGTAATCGCAATCCTCTTTCTTTACAGGTTCCTTAGAATTATTACCGCTTCTTTCTTGCGGTGTAAAACCAGACCTACGTTTCCTAATACTACGCGATGTTATTTCTGGTTCAGGCTGTTCATTCTCTTGTGCTCTGAAAAAAATATTTAGGTTTTTATGAGAGATATAAACTATAACAATAATAATTGTAAACGTACAGTGCCTCTTCTTCCTCTTGTTTTTTCTTTTCTTTCCTCTCTTTCAAGAGTTGAAAGATGAGACGAATAGTAAAAGGTATAGCTATTATGGAACTTATTATCCATTTTGGTAATTGAAATGGAAGAGTGTTCCACATTGTTGGAATAGGAATCTTTTCTAAAATATCAGCTAAATCTGGAACATCTATTTTGCTCTTTCTATTTTTTTTTTGTAGCTTTTGAAGTTTACTACCTAAAACTTGTTCCTGTAATCATAATATATAAGTATTAATTTTTTATATTAATTATATAAAAAAACAGAAGCATGGTCTCTTAGTTGTATGTTACTCACACAAGTGTACCGTTTTTCAAAATATGACGCCCAAGCTACGAGATATTGCCCTATCGTGATAACTGTGAATAAAATAAGACTCATCTCCAATAATCCCATTTTTCTGACACGGCGATAATAATACACCGCAGATCGCCAATTGGGCAGTCCATTAACAAGTACATTATCATATTTTTGCCGCTTTCCAGGATCTTTCAAAATGTCATAAACAGCGACTAACTGAAAAAGAAATTCAAAGATGTTAATTTAAGAACTTCAACATGTCACACATCTTCGAGTTTCTAAAATACCTTCCTGAACTGCAGCTCTGCATCTTCCGCTGGGTTTTTGTCTGGATGTAGTTGCAACGACAGGCGTCTGAAAGCCTTCTTGATCTCCGAAGCATTTGCAGACTGAAGAGAAAAATTTACATCAATCTTAATCAGGTTTGTTGCTTCGTGCGTGCATTCGCGCAATTACATTAACATTGCGAATGTATATTTCGAACATATATGCAAGAAAAATTACCTGCGTAACGCCCAGCACATCGTAGAAATTTTGATTGACCTCCTCGACCACGTCAAACACCTCTAGCTCGTCGTTGTCCCACGCGTAGGAGGACCTAAACACGTCCAGGAAGCAGAGGACCCCAAAAACGACCGACAGTAGATTCATCTTCGTATATCACATGCAGACATAATTACATATAATACACGCGCGTTTCTATCCGGTGCACTATGCCAATTATTCGTATTCTAAGACATAATGTCACTTCTTCAGCCTGAGTCAGCACGAAGGCAGGTTAGAAGTCCTCTTTTTACCGCAGGTGCCACATTGTCAGATTATCGCTCGTGTCTTCGCTCGTCGCGCACATTCGCCGAGATTACTCGCGATTATGGAAATGTCGGAATTACTACTCTGTCGATACGCATGGAATCGCGAGAATCGACCATCGCGTAGAATATTTTCAACAATTACTTGCAACACTTTCGAAAATAGAAAAATTGACTACTGCTAGTAAAAAAAAAGCAAATTGTTCTTGTTTTTCTCTTTATTGTTTTCTCATTTTTCTTCTAAATGTTTATTTTAATCATATCACCTTTAATTTGGATAAAAATACATTTACTGTATATTTAGCGTAAATTGAATTTAATATTGTTTAATTTATTATGTATTCAAAGAGATTTACATTTAAGCGGGGTGCGCAGAATAAACATAAGTAAAAAACAAAAGTGAGAATGTCAAAGTATAAATATTTACTTTTTTCTCTTTTTTTTTGGAATTATCTTCCAATCCAAAAAGTCACAAATCAAAGACATCAAAATAATAAAACTAATAACATTGAAAGTATTGTTATTTTGTTCCTCGTAAATCAGTTGATGAGAAGAAGACAGACAAAATGAACCTACGAGAAGAACCTATAAAAATTAATAGATTTTTTATTATATATA